GTTTCTTTCTTCTGTTGAACACAAAAGAAGGTGTTTTGAAGAATGTTGGTGACCGTGCTGTTGGTGGTCTCCATTTTTGGGTGAACTATGCCTTTTTAAGTTTTTGCGTGTTTTGTGAACATGTTTCCGGTTTTTCCAGCAGACATATCGAGCTTTGGGACTCATGCGGGTAATGCAGATTCAAGTGTGGTTTGCATCATTAACGTTTAGAAATGCTAAGTAATTTTGTAAATAAATTTCGGTATTTGTAACCATAAAAGTAATGTCATTTGGAAATATGATATAGTTTAATATTTTAATGTTATATGTCATGCATTTTTTATTTTTGTAAGAATAATAGTGAAATATAATTATAAATTATATTATAGAATTTTATATAAGCACTATAATTAATTATTGTAGTTATAAATGTAACCAATATTGTGATTATTGCAATGATTTTAATGCATTTTTTGATCAAAGTTTAAAAAAAAACGTACAAACTTGTTAATTTGGCAAGTTTGATTCATTTTCGAAAATCAAAGTTTAAATTAAAATTCTAAATCAAAGATTTGTTGCATTTTTATTTAAATTAAAACGTTTTACTCCGAGTATATCAGTGTAGCTTTTGTTAACTAAAGCTATTTAAATAGTTGTCATTAATTGAAATTAAGCTAAACTTAAATATAAATATAAGATATAAACTTAAATGTAAAGAGGAAATGTTGCCTTGGAAACTAACGGAAATAGAATAAGTTTAAGATGAAGTCTAAAAAAATTGAAATAAAGCTAAACAGAATTAAACAAATAATAATAATGAAATAAAAAACTTTATAAAAATTACAAATACATTTGTACATAAAATTACTAAAACTTAAACTGGAATCAAAATGAAAGTTTGTAACATGAAAAATAAAAGCTAATTAAAAATATTAATAAATACTGTAGTAGTAGTATATAAATAATAGTCTTGTATTTGCAGATTATTGTTTTGTTACATTGGTGCATATAAATTAAAAGAATTAAATATTCATGTTCTTTTGGTGAGAAACCATATGAACTTTTACGTCTTGCATTAAACATTTTGAATGCACTTGGCTCAATGACTGTTTGATTGAAAAAAACAACAACCACCAGCCAATCTAACCTATTTCATAGCAATCAAATATCGTCGATATACTAAAAAGAAAAAAATCTAGCTATACTGCTCAGATATAGCTTCCAATTCTTAGGTTTAAATGAGAACATCTTTGCCTTTTCAGGGTTGAAAACCGGCTACGGTACGACGAGCACAGCATACAGTCAGCC